TGCGTTGCAAGCCTTAACCGAGTAAACATTTATAATACATTTCCCTTTTCTATGCAATCTTTGCTGGCAATAAGTAAACCATACCTCCATGAAGTTCAATTCCTGGATATCAGTCCTAGAAGTAGTTGAAAATAATATAATCTTCCATACTCTTCTATCTACCACGTAGCAAATCTGTGTTAATCCAAGGTAATATATATATAAAATCTAATTTCATTATCCTCGCTCCTCTTCTCTCTCACATTTAGTCTCCAAATCACTTCAGCTATCTCATTTTCTTTCTTTAATCGTCTTTCCTGTATCATCTTTCTTTTTTTCTTCTAAATCACATATCTCTAATAAAAAGTGCGATTATTGTATCATTGCTTATTTTCCCCTTTCTATCTCTCTCTGTTATCTTTCTCTCACTCACTTTTCATGTCTTCCGTCAGCCTTTCCATTCTTCCAGACTGTGTTACTCTATTTAACCATATACTGCTTGTGACTTTGCACTCGTCAGAATCACCAACCTCGTACTCTTAATTAACACTACTAACAGGTATCTTACTCGTAGGCATATGTGTTCACTCTATCCTATGTTCAACTCTGTCAAATCACAATTCTCATACTCCAAGTGTGAGTGAAGAAGACGAGACCGATATGCCAGCTGTCTCAATTCACATAACCTCACCAATAACTTGATCTAGTTTAATACATACGGCCTCATGATATCACTCACCTATTGAGCGTGTATCCTTATTAACTATTTGCTAATATATATTCTTACAATACTAATACTTATCCTATATATAGCCGCTCACTTCTCCCCGTTATCCATAATCTTGCGGCCTTGCTCGTGAATAGTTAATGTAATTACGATAGTCTGCAGTCGATATAATCACTATGATTCACATAACCCTTACTACAAATTTACTCTATATCCCATAACTACACAGATAACCTGAGGTTATAAGTAGTGCATTATAGAGCACTAATTACAGTACTAATGTACAATTTTAAAGTATCGAGAGTGAGTGAGTGAGAGTGACCTATTATATTTGAGTGAAATATTAATTACTCTAGTGTACACCCAAATTACAACCACCTACAATCATAAAGTAGTAACTACTCACTAGCATTATGTGTATGTATTGTAGTGTGTATTAAGTATCTATGCTGTATTAATGTACCATACAGAGTAATATATATTAATATATATAACTTTAATATATTAATACATCTATAACTAGTATATATATAACTGGTGAAATTATTAATATCATTAAACAAATCAGATATAGTATTAATACTGTGATGATGAGTTATATTTATCTTCACGCTAACATCTAATATACACTCTTATGCTATCACCCCTATATATTGTTTAAATTATTAATGTATATTGTATATTCACGCTCTGCTGTATATATATAACTATATACATAATCATTCTCACGCTCATATATAATATGTCAAGTTAATAACGGTCACTCACAATGATCTCCTTATGTATCATCTTACATACATATCCTTTCATATAATCTATCTAAAAACCTCAGTACGCATAACATCCGATAACTACTTCAGTCACATAGACTTCCTTTTACTCCGATTTAAAATATATATACTAGCTAATCATCGATTATATATATGCATCTCCTATATATATGTATATATACAATAGATAACTAGGTATTAGGTTCAGTCTTATATGAGTACTACAGTAATATTCCCTAGGCATATCGCGCATATATCTCTACTAGCAACCTAATCCTCACACATTAGTGAGTCTCCAATCTTATTATCAACGCTATATATATATATATATACCCATGCCTCCTTGTACGTGATAATATTAGATCATCGAATACCGCCTAGTCCATGTGAGGACCTAGAAATCGAGGTCATACCTTTTTAGATAGTTGAATAATTTGATTTAGATATTTAAGCATAACTATACGAGTGTAATAAGGCTAATCACTACTATAACAAGTTAGATGCACAACGCGCGCGAAGATCGAGTGTCCAGCACTTGAACGGCATACATTTCCCATGCACACACACATGCACACACACACACACACACACACAACACGACATCGACCCATGGATCGTATGCGAGCGACCAAGCAACACTACATACTAAACAACACACAGCCACCAGCACACTACTTACACGGACACACAGTCTCATCCACCAGCACATATAGTCCCATTTATCAAGTATACCAGTAGAATTGATGTAGTATAAAATATGTATGTAGTTACTCGAGTCTGAGAATAAATAAATGCCGTTAATATTCCAATTGAGTTTGATTTGTTTCCTGGACCCAAGGAAGATATTATTCTGTGTAGAAATATAAATGATATTATATCAATCCGATATTATGTACTTAGATTAATACTATTTACTATCCCTCTTTTTCCTCCACGACACTCTGCTACTATCTACAACGTGGCCTACACACAGGCTATCACAGCACACGCACGACTGGCAATACTTCACACGACACACCAGTTGAACAAACGAGACATCACCACACTAGCGAGAACGGAGCACGACACGCAAGAATCTGCTGTTGACAAACACACACGACCCACACATCACACTAGACACACACGAAACGACAGCGAGCACACACAGCCAACAGGTTTATTATGGTGAGTGAGGATCAACCGTCATAGTTATGCTGTTGGTGAGAAGATATAAGCTAATAGTCAAGGTATACCGATGATCAAACGGATGAGTTAATTGACCTCAGTAGAAGGTGTTAGTACCTAACCTAAGTCTATATTATGAGCGACAGCTATCACAACATCTCATGACGCCACCACGAAAGGCTAATCCCACACACGACTACACACGACACGACACCTACCACCTACACTGAGTGACTAAACTAGTGTACTACTATACGATGAGTATACTATTTACCTTATCACTATATGGGCAATATCACTCGAGAGCCATCTACTGTGGTACCTTCCTATATATTTAGTCCACAGAATGATCTCTATATGAGTGTCTATCCTAGTGAGCAACGAGAAATACAGTAGTTCTCGCTTAGGTGGTTACTCACTACCCTTATTGAATGGAGTTTGCGGCTTAAAATATAATATACCCCATAGGTAGGGAGTTCCGTACCTATAGTGACAATGATGGCCTGATTTCATCATACAGCCCAGAACACACCCCGTCCCGCCCCCCCGACCAACATCGCACTACACACCGAGCCACACACCAGCAGCACACTACTTGCCACCAGCACACACATTCTGTCAAAAGCGTCTCTGTCGCCAAGAACACTATCTACATCACACACTTCACCACAATACACACACACAAATATGACACTACCACCAGCACTATCAAATCTTATACATACGCAACGTACACAAGAACACACAACACCACGAGCGCGTATCACATCACAAACATTATCATATTAATATATACACTATCATAACCTAAAACTGCGAAATTATCTCAGTTATTCTACCATCTTAATAAGTTATGAGTTGAATATAGTATATATATAGAATAACATATTACCATAGAAATTTCATACCTAATAGAAATGATAGCTATATAACTACTAGGGTATTAATAAAATAGTATCTGTTAATACTAGCTAATAATATAAAGTCATAAATTTGAAATTAAATTATGGACATATTGAAAATATCCATTTACCTCGTATCCCCATATTATTTAATAGTCTCTATATATTCGCGAACGATTTAAACTATTAAGTTTTAATGATTTATTTATATTCTAATATGCCCTATGACTGAAAATACAATAAGAACGCAGTATGCCGGCGTGTCGTATTCCGAATGTTGGTTGATGACTTTATAAAGACAAGAGATAGTTACAGGAACACTACTCTCATATATCCTATATACAGATTCAACGATAAAGAAAACAGTAGTTAATAGACATAAGAAGTGAATAATATAGTTATATCCATATACAATCAAAAGATAACGCGCACAACCTGGCAAGATGCGAGTTATTTATTAACTTTGTCTTTCTTACCACTGATCTGTCTATTTGATGATTAACAGCTTTGTAAGTTCATGTATACAATAGTTAATATAAGTTCAATACTTAATGTTTTAAATGTTCATGTATCGTTTTAAGTATATCAACAAACTATTCTATGTGATCGAGTAATATAAGTAATAGCATAATATACACGCCATCTAATATATCTATAGCCATTGGATTTCGCACGGAGAAGATATGTCGAACCGCGGCCAGCACACGCCACTATAAATGGAAAGAAGCTAGTCACTTGACTACCTACAGAGCACATGGAAAGAGGTAGACCGCAGACTAAAGCATAACGGATTAGTAAGCAACATGAATGGAGTAGCCATGATAATCACGACAAAACTAAACCTGTCATGTTACGTTAGTATAGTGCAACATAGTGGAAATAGGATAAGAACAGTGAGAATGTATACATTGAAGAAAAGAGCCTAAACCTGTGTCTGGTGAGAGTAAGAGAGAGTAATGATATAGCAAAATATAGAATATCGAAATAAGAAAATGTGCATAGTTATCTCTAGTGATCAATGAAAAAAAGAAAGTCTGTAGTATCGTCGTTAGACTGAATGAATAATTACATAGTGACCAATAGACGCGTAGGATGATGTACGAAAATAGGTCAATGGTAGCATGCCATGTGATGGACAGAGTGAAGCCATTGACAGTGGTTAAATGGATGAATTGTGCCTAATAAGAAAAAATATTAATTAGAGAAATGATGAATTAGATTGAATATAACAAATAAGAATATAATCAATAACGAAAAAATGAGCCGAATACAATATAATTGTATGATACAATATATAACAAAAAAAGCACGCCCAAAATTCGTCACAACAGCACGGACGTAAAATCAGAACAGCTCCCATATGGTGCCAATGTAATGGAACAGCGAAGAATTAATATAAGCAGCACTGACCAAAGAGTAGATGGTGTACAGATAGGTATATTTCAGCAATACAGGGCGCTGTGAATAGCAAAGAAGTCCTTGGAGTAAAAAACGGACGAGCTTCCATATGTATGGGGTACCATAACAGTAATATAAATAGAGTCAGTAGTGAGATATCAAAGAGGCTGTTGGGTCAGCCAATGAGACACAGGGACTGCCATGATAATAGTGGACCAATAATAGTGAGGAACGGTCCTGAGATGATATATAAGGCGTCAGCCCTCAGAGAATGACCCGTGAAAGAAGCGTGTATATATAGTATATATATATATATCTTGATTGGCAACAGAGTATATATATCTGTATGTATATATATGCATATACATATATGTATGTGTGTATATATGTATATATATATACATATACACATACGGTGTACACAACACTCACACGCACACACACACACACACACACACACACACACACACACACACCACACACACACACACACACACAATATATATATATATATATATATATATATATATATATATATATATATATTATTATATATATATATATTATATATATATATATATATATATATATATATATATATCATTACATGCCAGTCCATCTCCGCCTTGCTTCTTGTGTGCTAGACTCCTCCATCGCATCTTCTGTTCCCCTAACCATCGCTCTGCTGATCCTGCTCTTCTCTCTTCACACCCATCGTAAGATCCTCACATCGGTCTTTTCCGCTCTTCTCACTGGCTTTCTTCACGGAACTCATGGACACGTAAACACCCAAAAGGTAATTGCTGGTCTTGCAACAGCCCTACAGCTACACAGAAAGAAATCGGCAGAAAATCATGCGAAACATTCCGACACAGGCAACGATACTTCCAGATATTTCTTTCTTCTCACTCTTCTCTGCGGATAGGGAGGATCTCAGGTATTTAAAAGCATCCACCCTTTTCAGTTCCACATTCCACATTCATCCATTCTACTGCTTCCCCGTCTTCTGTTTCTGATCTGTACACATCAAAAAATCAGTCTTTGTTCTGCTTATTTCCCCTCTCTTTGTTTTCCAGTGCCGTTCTCCATTCTTCCAGACTGTGTTTTATCTCGTCTTTTGACTTCCCAGACCCACGACATCGTTATACATCACGGCCTACGGTGTCCCCTCTATTTCACTCTGTCAACACATCAAATACAATGTTGAAGAAGACGAGGACCTGATGCAGCTCCACTCCAACTCCAAAACTGTCTGTTACATCTGCACTCCTCACTCGCGTCTTGACATTGCAATACATTTCTTCAATCAATACTACATGCTTTTCCTGAGCTCCTGTCTTGGAATACAACCATAGGCCTTTTCCAAAAGTATGAATTCCGAGTGAAGCTTTTTGCTTCTATTTATACTTCGCAATCTATCTCAGTATGAACACTTAGGTTGGTGTTAAGCACATACACATGTACATTTACATACATGCACACATACAAATGTGTGTATGTGTGTGTGTAATTTAATGTATATATACACATACACACTCACACATGGACATACACACACATATGTGTATATATATATGCATGTATATGTACATACAGAGAAATATATATACATACATAGTATATTTACATATATTTGTATGTATGTATGTATGTATACATATATATTTATCTATATAAGAGCATATACATATATGTGTGGACATAGGTATTTATGTTTATACACACGTTAAATGTGGGTGTAAGCATTACCACGCACAGTATTTTGCAAAGTGCTGCTGGAAGATGAAAAGTGTCAGGAACCTTGAGGTTATTTCCGGCGGTGACCTGGTGGTTGGCAGAGTATATAAACAAGCAGGTCTTCGGAGTCTCGGTAGTCCATTTACAGGCAGGATGATGGTAAGAAATGGGTGTTACGTCGAGAAATGCGTTATTCATTGAGCTCTTGCCTTTGTTCTGGGACCAAGGGAAGAAATTCTCAGTGTAGAAAAAATGTTTATACATCTATATATGTATCTCCTCTTATTTTATTTTTTTTTTTTCCACCAGAAATTCTTTGCTATCTTCGTAGTGGCGGTCGCGGTGCAACATGCATCTGGTGAAGGAGGATTTGGCCATGGAGGAGGACACGGGGTTGCTGTTGGAGGAGGCCATTTACTTGGAGGAGGAGGCCACGGTCTTGGAGGAGGACACGGAGTTGCTGTTGGAGGAGGAGGACATGTCAGGGGCGGTCACGGAGGTTATGGCGGAGGTGTAGCCACAGGCTTCAGCGTGTTCAACCTCGGAGCCCCACTGGGAGGCTACGGCGCGAGTGGCTCCTCCTTGGGGCACGGTGGTCTTACCGGCGTCTCCTCCTTGGGGCACGGAGGCCTCGCTGGTGGCTCCTCCTTGGGACACAGAGGCCTCGCTGGTGGCTCCTCCTTGGGGCACGGAGGTCTCGCTGGTGGCTCCTTGGGGCACGTAGGTCTCGCTGGTGGCTCCTCCTTGGGGCACGGAGGTCTCGCTGGTGGCTCCTTGGGGCACGGAGGTCTCGCTGGTGGCTCCTCCTTGGGAGTTGGCGGCC